TGTGTGCCTTGGCAGTCTTACACCTGGAGTAAATTCACAATCTACCCTGCAGCATACAAAGTCATTAAAACTAGCTGCACCTTTAACAGCTTTAATAACACTTTAATGCATCAATACCTACAATCAAAACATACGAAATATATTATTCTGAAATGAACCAATCTGCATAACGAGTACTTTTACTACTTTTAGTACATATTTGTAATGCTAATACTGTTGTACTTTTAGTCGAGTAACATTTTGAATGCAGGATTTTTACTTGTAACAGAGCATTCCTACACTCTGGTGCTTCTACTTTTACTCAAGTACAAGATCGGAGTATTTCTCCCATCTCTGTTTATTACGGCTTGATGTTCAACAAGTGAAAGTTTACTATTGTGAAGACACATCTGCCAATTTCAAGAGGTTTCTGCNATTATTGTGTTGAAATATTATTTTACGTGTCGTAAATGAAACCAAGACCTGATTTGTGTCCGCATACAGGATCTCACTTCTTGCATACTCCAGAATAGTACTCGCAACAAATTGTAGCGCTCAAATAGTCACCTCGCAAACGGGACTCTTGATGAACTATTTGTACAAAAGGACCCTGCGCTGTCGCATCTCTGCGCGAGAGTCAGTCGTGGTTACGTCTGAGCGCAAACTCCGCAAACTATCCCCGGTAGGGGAGGTGTGGCGAGGTGTTAGCGAACCAAACCCTTCGTCGGGGCAGTCTATACCAGCCATGGGAGGCGCACTGCGCGTTGCCTCCCATTCTCCCAATCTCCACCAACCCCCCGCCAAACCTTACCGCGGCACGAAATGAACGCGAACACCAATATCCTTTTTATTATCCCAACCGTTAAAGATAAGTTCCCCTTTTATTCACACTCAAAATCTCGTAAAATATAATAACTATAATAATAGAAAGTCGGGATATAATAAAAAAAAGAAACGTTTAGACGATACAAGACCGCTATAAACATCACACTACACGAATGAAGTGCCAGTCGTCGGGGTCCCGTAGTTCGCCTGACGAAAGAGAGTCTGTATGGTACGGTCCTTTAGAAGAACTTTAACCGTCTACACAGAAGGGTGTATCATTTGAAAGTGAACAACTTTGTAAGTTCGGCCATCTATTTGTCTTGCAAAAACTAAGAAGCTTATAAACATCAGGTTTAAAACTAAAAGAGCTTTACAAAAAAGTAACACAATTAAAGATGTTTGGAGTTTTATTTGAGTTATTAATTTACATTTTTTGTCAAAGAGATGCTGATTTGAAACCGTTGTTACATACAGTTACGGCATTTCCTATTTCTGCCGGAGAGAGGGGAGGCCGTCCCAAAGCTTGCTGCTGTATTTACTCCCTCCATCTGACAGGAGCCTCGTTGAGCTGCGAGTGTGGCTAAAGACGGAGTTGTAGGGTCGAGGGAGTGGTTTGGGATTGGGCCTTAGTCAAAATGTTATCCCCAGACCAACAAAGGCTCTTTAATATTCGACCATGAGAGTTAAGAATGTAAGTTTGTGAATATTACATTAAGAAAAATTAGATAGACCAATTATTGTCATATTCAGCGAAACTAATCAATTCATTTTTAGAAGTAGGCTAATATAAAGCGAGGCAGGTTGAACACTCAAATCCTTGTTTCAGGGTAGCACAATAAATACATATCTAAAACAAAACAGGGACAAATTAGAATCAATTAAGTAAAGTATTGTAAATTAAATAAACGTATACATGCTCTTCAATTATGTATTAATGTTGAGTAAAAAGTTACGAAGCAAAAAAGACGCCCCGTCTCATTCTGATGACGTGTACAATTTCAGTTTACTGAGGAGCTGGTTTCGTAGAGGCGATTTCTTTAATATCAGAAACACGCTTCTTCCCGTCAAACAGGTAGGACAGTCCGCTTCATCGTTTGTATCCATTATACAAACTGAAAATACGCTGAATCCGTGTAACAGTTGATCTTATTGGTGCTGAAATAGAGTCGTGGTGACCCCATGACAGCTTAGCTTGCTAACTAGCTAACCAGCTAACTGATGCAGGACGGTTAGGGTTGCTAGCTTACCCTGCTAGCTGGATGGCTAACTATCGCCAAGCTCAAGCTGCTACTATATGGTTAAACCTGTGACATGACATAAAAAAGCCTAAAAGTGGCTAGTTGTAAAGCTAGCTCTATAAAGGTTCAACGGTTTATAATCGTAAAATGATGGATGGATGATGGGTAACCGTGACAACACGTTGTACCGTAAAGCACTGATAATCATATGTTCTATGCTCGGTTAGCTGTCAGTGGGAGCAGGTGTGTTTCTTTTCATTCCCTTCTAACTGGATGTCATCACTGAAAGTTTATAATAGCATCAGAGGGAAATGCATAGTGTGGAAGTGCTTAAATCAAGATTGAAACATCTCTGTAATGTATTGTTTGCCTTTTACCACAGTATATACAATGTGTTTTTAGGCTAAGATGCCTAATAACTCCTGCTAACGAAAGCTAGCCTTTCAGTTGACACTATTATACTTGCATATGTTTGATTCTTGTTTACGTTGCCCCTTTTCAAGTAATGAAATTAAAACAATATCTTGCAACTCAAATGAGGCGATAGTAAGTAACCAGCATTTTATTGTTATCAGTGTCATAGATATTAATCGAATAGGATGTCCTAATAAGATGCAGGAAATATGACGTAAAGAGACAGGAAATGTTTTAAGAATTGCACATACAACCCTCATTTGTTAAAACATGTTAGGTGGTTTGCTGGGGACACAAGTTCCAGTTAATTTGAATGAAGTTTTGATTAAAAAAAAAAGAAGCTACCAAGCTGTTAAGGACAAGGTTCAGATGTTGTGCAGTTTTGCATTTCACTGGTTTACAGGTCAAGGTGATAGTGGGACAATGAATAAGATGATGAATTGTAGGGCTTCGCCCACGTATTGACTTATTGGTTGTTTTTGTCTAAGCCAACTAAGATTTCTTCAGCAGGTTACTCATTTTGATGTATTAAAAACAATTCAGGACACTTTTTTTTTTAAATGACTTGCATATTTCTGTTAAAGTGGTGCTTCTGATTGATTTTTTTGCGGAAATCTCAGTTTAAGCTGTCTGACAATAAAAATCAACAAATCAAAAGATGAAAATAAACGTATGAGTATACATAGGAATTTCTTTAGTCAAATACTTTTTTGCGTGTGAGAGAATATACTCTGCATGCTCCTGTATCCCTTGCTCTGTTATTGAATGTCTTTATACTATTGACAGTTTTTGTGTCTGCATCGCTCCTTAAGGCTGGGATCTTGGATGGAGTGAGTGTTGAGCCCCAATGAGATGACTGACCAGGGCAACAACAACCAGCATATCTCCCGCAACCCCTTTGCTGCTCTCTTCAGCTCAGTCGCTGATGCCAAGCAATTTGCATCTGGGCAGAAACCCGAACAGTCTGCTGAACCATGTGGGTAGAGTTATTCGAGCCATCTTCTGATGAGACGTATTGTCAGTGTTATGAGGGATGCGTGCACATAAACACATTTATAACATGTCAGTGAAGTAAAGGTCATGTTAACATATGGCTCAATTGTATCCACATTGTTTTTCATACCTACCCTCTGTCTCCTGCACAACAGTGGAGGACTCGGGAGAGAGCCATTCAGAGTCGGAAAACTCTGTTTCGGACAGCGTTGATGAAAATGACGATTCCGTGGCAGAGATCAGTCGCTCCTTCCGGTCCCGGCAGGAGCTGTGTGAACAGCTCAATGTCAATCACATGATCCAGAGGATATTTCTCATCACTCTGGACAACAGTAAGTAGAAGGAGGAGAGTAATACGTTTTTGATCTGTAATTTATACTCCTTTCATAGAGAATATGTGCGTCCGACTAAGTTCCATTGACTACATGATAGACACAATAATATGAGACAGCTGTCACTGCCTCAATTCTGCTTGGTACATTTAGCAGAGGCTATGGTCTGCATTGAAGTTACTGATAAAAAGTGTATTTTGTTGCAAATTAACAACAAAAAAGTTTTCCGATTAAATTCCTCCTCTTCTATCAGATTCACTTTTGCTTTTAGATCCCCTTCTCTCTTCCTGTTTTCAAATTTGCTTTCTCCCACTTTTGGTTTTGCATGATTAAATAACATTTAAATATTGTTGTCATGCCAGGAAACTTTCATGTTAGAACCAATCCATATCAGGGTTGTGACCCATATAAATAGACACAACTAGATGTTGGTTTGACCCTGTCAGAGAGTCAGAATAGGGTTATAGACAGGGGTGCACATAACTGGTACGCAGGAACGCATGCACGGCAAAAATCTAAATTGCGTAACGTCACTTGTGTCACTACGCGCCTTTACGTACCTCAAAACAAAACACATATTTCGTCTACACGTGTTTCTTGTCAACACTCAATGGAGTAAACTACGAGACATGTAAAAAAAAAACAAAGACATTAAGCAGCTACGTTCCTGTTTCGCTCCCTGCAAAAAATCTTCGGACTTTCTGTGACTGACTGAACTGGAGCTGGGCGAGCCGCGCAGGACATAACCGACGGACCTGTGAAGCTTTACTGGAGGCAGAGGCTCCGGACAACAGAGTTGGTCGCCGTGTGCACAGACAGGGTTAACGTCGGTATGAACAACATAATTGTGCCAAAACTCTGCCAACTGGCTGCAGTGGGAGACTCCCCTGTGCACATTCTGTGCCCCGCGCAGACACTGGAGAACTGCGCAAAATCAGCTGATCACAACGTTCACGCTCTGTGGTCAAGCTGCTGCAGTTTTATTTACAACAAAGTGGAGTAAAACACACAGCTGCAAACTTCCTCAGGGTGTTATGGAAGAGTTTGAAATCAGACAGAGGTGGAAGAAGTACTCAGATCTTGTACTTGAGTAAAAGTAGAAGTACCAGAGTGTTACTCTGTTACAGTAAAAGGCACACAGGGGATAGGGCATTCGATAGGTCGGCTCAAAGTAAAATTAGAAAAGTATTATCATCAAAATATTAGTTAAAGTACCAAAAGTAAAAGTAGTCATGTGGCAGGGTTGGTTACCATTTCAGACCTTTCCATGCATAGAGGTCACTACAGTGGGACAGGGCTATTCAAAAGGTGTTTTCTTCTAATATGCATTTGTTTTGTTTTTGCATAGGTTGCACCATCAGCCCACTAACATAGGAACCTATTGCATCATCCCATACACTGCCACTCAGTGGAAAGTCAGTGTAATGTTCTCTAAACCCAAAGATGCGATGGACGACAGAAAAGCCACATGGGACGGACCAAGTCACCCGCATCTATATCTTGGCGCAATCCTTTTATGGAAGCGTCCCCTGGGCAAACATAAAACATATTGCTTTGATCATTTTTTTTAATGCCAAACTTATATGGAATCCTAGTTGTACTTCATAAATGTCAACGACATTTATTTATATGGTCTGCAGGTGGACGGCTTTCCATAAAAAGGATTGGCGAAGATATAGGAAATGGGTGACTTTGGTCCCATTGTGGCTTTCTGTCGTCCCATCTTGGTTTAGAGAGCATTACACTGACTTTCCACTGAGTGGCCAGTGTATTGGGGATGATGCAATGAGGGGGTCGCTATGTAGCTGGGCTGATGGTGCAACTATGCAAAAAAAAAACAATGCATCATAGAAGAAAACACCCTTTTGAATAGCTGTCCACTGTAGTGACCTCTATGCATGAAAGGTCTGAAATGGAACCACCTGCACAATGGACTACTTTTACTTTTGTTACTTTAACTATATTTTGATGATGATAACTTTTTTCTAATTTTACTTGAGGCGACATTTGAATGCAGGACTTTTACTGTAAACAGGAGTAACCCTCTGGTGACTTCTACTTTTACTCAAGTACAAGATCTGAGTACTTCTTCCACACCTTCTGTCTGATTTCAAACTCTTCCATTAACACACCTGAGGAAGTTTGGCAGCTGTGTGTTTTAAACTCCACTTTGTTGTAAATAGAAACTGCACAGCAGCCCCTTGGACCAGAGAGGCGTGAACGTTGTGATCAGCTGATTTTGCGCAGTTCTCGCAGTGTGTGTGCGCGGGGCACAGAGATGTGCACAGGGGAGTCTCCCACTGCAGGCCAGTTGGCCAGAGTTTTTGGGGCCACAATTATGTTGTTCGATACCGACGGTTAACCCTGTCTAGTGCACACGGCGACCAAACTCCTGTTGTCCGGAGCCTCTGGGCCTCCAGTAAAGCTTCACAGGTCCGTCGGGTTATGTCCTGCGCGGCATCGCCCAGCTCCAGTTTCAGGTCAAGTCACAGAAAGTCCGAAGATTTTTTTGCAGGGGAGGCCGAAACAGCCCAACGTAGCATGCTTAATGGTCTGGTTTGTTTTTTTTTATACATGTCTCCTTAGTTTACTCCATTGAGTGTTGACAGAAAACACTGTGTAACGAAACATGTGTTTTGTTTTGATGTTTTGAGGTACGTAAAGGCGCGTTAGTGAGTGACACCAAAGTGACGTTACGCAATTTTAGAGTTTTTGCCCGCTGCATGCCGTTTCCTGCGTACCAGTTATATGGTGCACCCCTTGTCTATAACCCCTATTCTGACTCTCTGACAGGGGTCAAACCAACATCTAGTTGTGTCTATTATATGGGGTCACAACCCTGATATGGATTGGTTCTAACATGAAAGTTTCCTTGGCATGACAACAATTATTTTAAATGTTATTTAATCATGGGCAAAACAAAAAGTGTGGGAGAAAAGCCAAATTTGAAAACAGGAAGAGAGAGAAGGGGATGCTAAAAGCAAAAAAGTGAAATCTGATTAGAAGAGAGGAGGAATTTAATCGGAAAACTTTTTTGTTGTTAATTTTGCAACAAAATACACTTTTTATCAGTTAAGCTTCAATGCAGACCATAGCCTCTGCTAAATGTACCAAGGCAGAATTGAGGCCAGCTGACAGCTGCTGTCTCATAATTATTGCCTGTCTATCATGTAGTCAATGGAACTTAGTCGGACGCACATATTTCTCTATGAAAAGGAGTAATAAATTACAGATCACAAAACGTATTACTCTCCTCCTTCTACTTACTGTTGTCCCACGAGTAAT